TGAACTATGGAACTGAGAAGTCCTGTGCTTTCATATTTGGAGTACTTGCCTTCCAAACTCCTTCAACAGTTCCTGGGAAGAAATGTTGCCACCATACCAAGGAGCATCATTCATTCACACACTTTTCAAGAATGATTAAATAATATGTTCCTTAGTCTTCAAAATGTAACTGATACTAAATACATTTACCAGTTGTACTTCTAACTGGTTTTTCTTAAAATTAGAAGAATAGCCCAGCCGGCATGGCTCAGCAGTTGAGCATCGACCTAGGACCCAGGAGATCGTGGTTCGATTCCTGGTCAGGGCACATGCCCAGGTTATGGGCTTGATCCCTAGTGGGGGACGGGCAGGAGGCAGCCAATCAATAACTCTCTCATCATTGGTGTTTCTCTCTCTCTCTCCATCTCCCTTCCTCTCTCTAAAATCAATAAAGATGTATTAAAAAAAAAAAATTAGAACAATAAACTGACATATATTTTGCTGTAGATACAAATAAATGTCCTTCCATAAACTTACGCTTTCCTGAAGTGGAATAAAAAGGAAAACGAATTCAGACTGAGTATTTTCATTATAGGCCCATGTGACTGATTTTCAGGCCCCACGAGCCTTGATTCATACAGAAACTTTCTATAAAACCCTGGCTATAAAATGAACATCTACAGATAGAATTTAAAGACATATTTCAGTTCAATATAAATGATTTCCTAACAGAGTTTTAGGAACATGAAGTAGGCTATTTTTGGGTAGTAAATCATTAGCATTCATGTAGATGTTGAGACTCCAATCACTGCTCATATAGGGTCAATTCCATCAGAAACGGGGTTTGAAACAGACATTAAAAGTTACCTCTTCCAACCATGAGATTTTACATTCTTTATGTTTGTACTCACATGGCTTAAAGGTTTTGTCAAGTTTTACTTTCAAGACGTATGAGCCTCAGTAACATAAAGCCTATGCATAATCCCTACATAAAATTTTTGAACAAAGCAAATACTTTCCTCTCTCACCGAATATAATGCTACAGCAAAATATAAGAGTGCAGATATGCATGAGGGAAAAACATGGCTCTTAAGTGGGCTTCAATACAGCTCTGGAAATCCCAGGGAGTTCCCTTCAAGTCCTACCTATAATATACATTAAGGCTTTGGAAAGTCCCCTATTGCATAAAGATCTCATGGTTAAATCTTTTTCCAATCACTTATCAAACCAGAAACACAAAACCGATCCATTTTTCATCATCAACTCTTAACTTACTATCATAATATAAAGATGGCTGGGATTTTTATAGATGAAAACCCACAAGTCACTTTTATTACTACTTTAGAACTACTTTATGAAATACATTATCATTTGCTCAAGATTCATAGCATGGACTACTGTTACTTGGGTAATCTGATCTCACAGGACCTTTTTTATGATGCACTAGTTCCCAATGTTGGGTGTTTTGAGAATTGAATTCTGGGTTTAGGAACAACTGTCTCTTGTCATTGAGGCCAGATTTATGCTCCATTAGACCACCTCTGCTTATCAGAATACAGAGTTCTTGTCTACTGCTTTGTGTGTTACTCAGGCAGGGCATTTGCTACTAATAGGCACATTCGTAAAGAGAGTTCCAGAAGCAAGTTGAGTGCTGGTTATATTAAGATAAAAGATACTGCCTAGTAAAATCTTGGTATCTTGACAAAAAGGATAAGGAGTGTTCTCAAACAGGACGACCTAGTAAGAAAAGAAATATCTCATATATAAGATACTCTAATTCTCAGATGAGATTAAAGGATATGTTTAAAGTCCTGAATTGACACAAAAAATAGATAAAACTTGAAGTAGCAATCACAGAAAGCAACTTTCTCTTTTCCTTTCTTGGGTAATAAAATGTTTTCATCTTTCATAACCAAGACTCCATTGCCTACATATTGCTAATGGAGTATTTTAGGGTCTGTCCTATCTATAGGGGTTACTTTTAGCACTGGATCTACCTGTCTGACCTGGGGATCTCTTATAGTTCCCATAAGATCCACCACATCAAGGACTCAACCTCCATTCAAGTAGTATGTGGTCCCATTAAAACAATCAGAGTGCACAGTCCTCCACTATGAATCTTGAAGACCAAAGGAGGCTTTAATGCTGAACTTGTTTGCACTGCACAACAGTCAAGAAAAGTCAGCAGATGCCTAGCTGGTTTGCTTCATTTGACGGAAGTGGCTGAAAAAGTCTTCCGTTTGGAAGCATTTACCAGTTTTTCTGGTACAATAGCTAGAGCTGTGGGCTTTGAGTGTGAATGGACATATGTAAGACATGAAATATCAGGGACAGGCACCATCTGCAACTGATTTACTCACAGGTTGGTACTGCAATGTAGGAGTAGCAAGGGACAGAATTTTCTTAGGGCCATACACTGGCAAAAAAAACCCCACAAAACCTTTTGGGTGACAAAGATCTTAAGGATATGAATAAATAGGACTGCAAGATTGTGTCCTTTCCAGCTAGCATCTTCAGTACTTTTTGCCCTAATCATTCAAAGCTTAAATGAATAGAACTGATGAAATATTGCTTTGTTTTAGAAGAGACAAAGAAAAAAACCAAGAGACATTATTTCTTTTCACTAATTAATATTTGTCCCCTTATTAAACAACACATGTGGGGTTTAAAGGTGATAGGTAAATAGACAGAAAGATAATAAAAACTACATACAGAAAGAATCAATTCTTTTTTTTTTTTTTTTAAATGTATTGGTTTCAGGTGTACAGCTTAGTGGTTAAGTGATCATATACTTTACACAGTGCTCGCCCTGATATTTCCAGTACCCCAACTGGCATCATACATAGTTACCACATTATTGATTATATACCCCATGCTTTTCTTACTTTCCCGTGACTCTTTTGTAGCTACAAATCCGTGCTTGGTAGTCCCTCCACCTCTTTTAGCCAGTGCCCCAAACTCCACTCCCCTCTGGTACCCATCAGTTCTCTCTGTATCTGTGAGCCTGTTTCAATTTTGCTTTTTATAATGGCAGGTTTGTAAAAACAAAAACGTTATGAAGGTTTCTACTTGGGATGTTCATTTCACTGATGTGAAATGGAAATGCGAATAGGAAAGAAAACTGACATTAGTTTATTTACTGTTTCTTTTTTAAGAGCAGAAAATTTGCCCTGGTTTTTGTGACCTGGATTCCATTTCCTATTTCTAAAGTAAAGCATTCTTGCACTCATGCTGACTGTCCTCAAATATCAGGCTTCAGGCTCTCTGGGCCAACAGGAGGTTAGATTTCAATACAAAGAAAACAGATGTAGATTTGGGTTAGTTAGTTACCTACTTCAGGATTCTGTGCTGGAAAAGCCCCTTAACACCATACTCTCATCATAGTAATAGCCGATTCCATATGCACAGTAATCCTTGTTCTATTCTTCTAGTTGGAGCCAAGTTATGTTGTGACTCACCCATCTATACTCTAAATCATTACACCCTTTGCTGGAAAAGAGGCAGTCAACAACTGCAGCAACGAGGCAGTAAGTGAACTGGAAAACAGGCTTGTCTGGTTGCTATTTACACTACTGAGAAATATGCAGTTTTAACTCCAAGTAATTTTCTGTTGATGTCTCACCACCAGTAGTAGTATCTCACAATAGTATTTCCAGAAGAGTAAGCAATGGAATCCCACCTGTCTTGATTGGAAAGTGGAGGTTGGTATTTTTAAAATCATTTTAAACATATTTTATAGTCTCATTCAGACTATTCTATCATTTCAAGTTCTTGGCAGGATGGGAATACCAATCCTCTTTGCTGTGTCTTCAGACTGTCCTGCACAGTGCATCTTTTTCTGCCTGCCTTTAGCAACAGTGACACAAGATGGCAGCAACCATGAGCTCAAGCAATTTATAAAAACCGAATATAGAGCCTTAAAATAGAATATGGACCTCAACACCCAGAAGTGCCCTGCTTTGTAAGATTTGTAACAAAAATAAATATGAATGGAGTTAATAGTTCTAATGGAGTGGAAGACTCAAGAGCCGTATCAATGCTAGCAAAATGGCAGAATTTATATAGCATCAAAGTTGTCCTGCAGTAGCTTAGGAGCCTAATGATGTCTAAAGAAAATATGAAACTCAGCCACCTGAAGGACAGTGTTACAGCAATTAATCAAAAAAGCAAAAAAAAAAAAAAGCCACAGGCCCTTCCCCTCCCCTCATTCAATTTAAGCAGTCTTCAGTTTCCACAGTAGTGAATTTTCTAGATACATCTTACAGACCTCAACGTACTGAAAAGGAAGCTCCCCTTCTAAGGCAATTTATCTTAATACACTATAAATGATACTAATTTTTTTGTCCATTTGAAATAAGTTGTGCTATAACAATAACAACAAACCCAACTTCCAGCGTTTAATATTCCTTCAGGCTGTTACAGTTTCAGCTCACATGCTTACCACTCTGCCTTCATGTTGTTTGAACCCCAGAAAGCTTATATTTCAAAGAGAAATTCAAAATAGATGAAAACTAAATAAAACTCTAACCTAGGACTTAAACATTCTAAAAAATACAATATTTTCAAGATTCAGAGGCTCCTGTAGACCTGATAAAAGTTCCGAGTTCCTCTAACATTCTGCTACACTTATCATAGATATGTGTTAACAACAAGTATTTAAATCTAGATAACCTAACTATAAGTTAGGTGTTTAAAGATAACCTTCACTTGATTCTCTACTAAAATCTACTTTTATAGAAATGACATTCAAATTCTCTATGTAAGGTTTAAGAACAAAAAGTTTGTAAAAAAGATCTTAAAAAGTTTCTAAATGTTTGAATGAAAGAATGAATAACTTTCCATCTCAATGCATGACTTTAACAATAAATAAATAACAAAAAACAAACTCTTCTCCACAGAGTTATTACAAATCCTACCCCAAGATCAAATCTAATATACAGAAGAGAGAGGTTGTTTCATATATAAATAAAATAAAATTGGCAAGATATCAACTTGTACCCTGCGTGAAGTAAAACTCTAACCTGTAGGTTATTCAGAGGCTCCATCTTCATGACTGGGCCCAAGGTGTTGAGAGGCAGGGAGACATCGATGCTCTGGTTTGGCATCAGTGGTGTATGGATGGCCAGAGGAGTGCTGGGGATGACACCAAAGCTAGGAGAGAGGGTGAAGAAATTCTAGAAGTTAATCAAGAGGCAGGATTTAGCCACATCATTGGGTTTCAATGGCTTTTTACTCCATTTGAAGGAAATATAATTCTTTACATAATATTAAATGAAGGAATAGTAAGACCCCAGATGCTCAATTCTAATTTACTACAACACTGGTTACAACATAATTTTTGTTTTCTGTTAAATGAATTTGAGGAAGGACAAATAGTCATAAGCACAGAATTGCTTTGTTAGTGCTTGGATTCTAAAAGTTTCTAATGTTTATCACACCATGAGGGGCAGATATGACAAGTATCTTTTTATATATCTTTATTGATTTCAGAGAGAGGAAAGGAGAGGGAGAGAAAGAAACATCAATGATGAGAGAGTCACTGATAGAGCCCGCAACCTGGGCATGTGCCCTGACAGGGAACTGAACCCCGATTGCCTGGATCCCAGGTCGACACTCAACCACTGAGCCACGCCCGGCCGGGCAATAAGTATCTTTTTAAAAATACATCTTTCCTTAGATAATCCTTGAAAGAAAAAAGACTGAATAATCCCCTATATAAAGTACAATACGTTTATATTATTTCACTAGCTTGATAACCTGCCTGACCAGTCCAGAGAATTTATTGGTAATTCTCATTTTCTTTTGTGTTTACTTACACAGGATACAATCATTAGGAAAAAGGCAGTTGTAGTTCCAAATATGGCCACTTTCTAAGACTAAGACAGACAGTGAGTACAGTACCCATCAGTTTGACTTCTCAGAGAAGCCTGCCTAATAATAACACAAGAATAGTAAAGAGATGGGAAAAGCATGAGTCTGAAGTTACATTACAAAAAAAAGCATATGAAGGAGGGCAGCCATATCTCACATCAGAGAAACTTAAGAATAAATGTCTGCCCAGCCGGTGTGGCTCAGCCGCTGAGCATCAACCTATGAACCAGGAGGTCGCAGTTTGATTCCCAGTCAGGGCACATGCCCCGGTTTTGGGTTCGATCCCTGGTAGGGGGCATGCAGGAGGCAGCAGATCAATGACTCTCATCATCAATGTTTCTACCTCTCTCCCTCCCTTCCTCTCTCTGAAATCAATAAAGACATATTAAAAAAATAAATTTCAGAGATGGAGAGGGAAGGAAAAAGTGGGCCTGCAGGTACAACAAATAAATAAATGATAAAAGTTAAAGAGTTTATACAAGTAGTATCTCTTTCAAGAGTCATAGGATGGCAGAAAAACATTTTCCTTTTCCTAGATAAACTATACTTTAGAATATCAAAATATAATAATGAAGTGATCCCATGAACATGTCACTCACTTTGGCATAACATTTATAGGTCAAGAAACCATTTTCCTCTTTTGATCTTGCTCTCATGATCAACAAACTCTATCAGTAGTCGATATTGGCATAGAAACATGGCAGCAGCTTAGTTCTAAATCTTCCAATTGCTCCTCTTGGAAATGATATGAAGGAAACAAAGGAGGGAAAAATTCCCTACAAATCTACAACTTCCCCTCCTATAAAACTACACGTCAGAGAAAACCTGCAAACTCCAAACTATATTTAAGTATGGCCTCAGCACATGAGATCAGCAGAACTGGTGAGAGAAGCTCTGGAGGTGCAGCAGAGAGGCCCAGGAAGTTCCAAGGAAACTAGTAGTAGAGGCCTCAGAGACTGACTGTAAATATCCATTCTCAGAAGAGAGCCCCATTCCTAGTGTAAAGTACTGTGAATAGGACTAAGATCAAACAGGGGAAAACATAGAGGTGAAGTGAAGAAAGAAGGTGGAAAGTCCCCAGGTGAGCCTGGGGGTGACAGAGCTCAAAAAGCACCACTTTCCAAAGGGGAAACAAATACCCTGAAGACAGGGCTCTGTTCCTTGGAGGCAGAGAACAGTAAAAGAATCCATAGAGCTCAGGATGGAAATAAAGTCTTCTTGAATCAAGTCAGGTTCTGGGAGGCAAAGGGGTTGTGGCTACAGTATAGTAAAAGAAGGAGAGTTCTTGAGAAGCAAAGCCTAAAACACTACCGTGGCTTATCTTCCTTGCCTACCAGAACCTCCTGCTAATAACTAGCCCTGTAAATTCCAAGTCTTCAAATACGAGTATCAAAATGGTATAAACACAGTGCCTATTCAAAGACACTATCCTTAAAAAGTAAAACAGAAGTAGTACACTTCCTTGACAAACAAAACATACTTGAAAATAAATTGCCATTGAAATAAATGGAATTATAAAACAATTATACATGAGGTTAAGGGGAAAAGAACACTTAATGAAGCAATTGCAGCTACCAAAGGACACACAACAGAGAAGGAAGCACCTGGGAAAGAGAAGACTAGACAACAGAAGGTGAAGGGGAGACAATAAAACTTAGGAAAAGGAATAAATCATGTTAGAAATGAACTAAACTACATCACGAACATAGATACAAAAAGTACTCAACAAAATTTTAGCAAATCAAATCCAGCAATTTATAAAGATTACATATCCTGACCAAACAGGATTTATCCCAGGAATACAGATTGGTGTAACATTTCAAAAATCAATGTAATCTGCCATATGAAGAGACTAAAAAAACCTCACATGATTATCTCACTAAATGCAGAAGAAGCATTTGACAAAATTTAATACTCATAAGAAAACTAAGCAAACTTGGAACAGAAGGGAACTCCCTCAACCTCCATGAAAACCTATAGCTAACAATGCACTTAATGGTGGAAGACTGAATGCTTTCCCCATAGAATTATAACAGGGCAAAAATGTCCCTTCTTACCACACGTACTCAACATTTACTGCTGATCCTAGCTAGGGTAATCAGGCAAAGAAAGAGGGGGGGAGAGAGAGAGAAAGAAAAAAAGGATGGGAGGGAGGCAGGGAGGGAGGGCAAACAAAACTGAAAAAGGAAAAAAATGAAACTGTCTCTATTCACAGATAACATGACTTTTCTATGTAGAAAACCTTAAGGAATCAACAAAAGGGCTACTAGAACTAATAAGCGAGTTCAACAAAGTTGCAAAATACAAGCTCAATATACAAAAATCAATTCTATTTCTATATACTAGCAACAAGATTTATACGTGACAAATTATGAAACACTGCAGAAGGAATTTAAAGACAACCTAGATAAATGGAGAGATATAACACGGTGATGGGTTAGAACACTCAGCATTGTTATCACTTCTCCCCCAAAGTGATCTACATAGTTAGTTACTGTACTCAGTCAAAATCCCAGCAAGCAAAGGACCTAAAATAGCCCAAACAATTTTCAAAAAAGAATAAGGTTGCATAGTTTATACTATCTGATTTCAAGATGTATTACGGGAAAGAAAGTTTATTTCTTCTAACTTTATACCATATGTAAAAGTTATCTCAAAATGAATTATAAAAGTAAATGTAGAAGCTAAATCTATATAACACATCTACTAAAAAACAGAAAAAATTATTTGTAACTGTGGGTTAAGCAAAGATTTCTAGCTAGAACACAAACAGCATAAGCCATAAAATAAAAATTGTAAAATAAACTTTATTTACATAAAAAACTTTTGTTTTCTGAAAAACGCTGTTAAGAAAATAAAGGCAAACCAAAGGAGAAAATATTTTCAAGACATATATCTGACAAAGGACTCGTATCCAGAATATATAAAGAAATTCTACTACTTCATAACAAGACAATCAATCAAAAAAGGGATTTGAGCAGATACCTCACCGAAGAAGATAAAAGAATGATCAACAAGCTTATAAAAAAAATACTCATATCATTGGTAATTCTGGAAAATGCAAATTAAAATATAATACTACTTATGTACATCTATAAGAATGGTTAAAATTGGTAAGGATATGGAACAGCTGGAACTCTCACACTTACGATGTGATCTAGCAATACCAATGCTAAGGAAGATTGAAAACATATCCATACAAAGACTTGTACATGAGTATTTACAGCAGCTTTGGTCATAAAAAACAAAACCGGAAACAATTCCAAAATCTACCAGCTGGTGAAAGGGTAAACAAATTGTGGTATATTCATCACTGGAATACTACTCAGCAATAAAACGGAATGAATTACTGATATAGCTCAAAGCATTATGTTAAGCAAAAGAAACTAGATGTAAAAACTCCATACTATGTGATTTTATTTACAAAAAATTATAGAAAGGTACAATTATAGCAACAGAGACAGAGCTACAAAGAACAAGAGCAGAGACACCACAGTAAACATAGTAAGGGACACAGAGAATAAAATGAGAAGATGCAAATAATATAAAACAGAAATGAGAGAAAAAGATCACCCCTGCCCACGAAGACCAAGTCTAAATCTGTTCAAGTCTATAGATATGCCTCCAATTGGCAGATGTAAATCTAGATTGTGGGAAACTCCACAGATAAAAGACCAATTTCATCTACAAATAAATTTCAGGGGAAACAGAGAGGGGAAGAGGAATCCACAGGTTAAGAGAGACTTAAGACACTTATCAACCAACTAGCATGTATGGGGGACTTCATTGGGGCTGTACAGACAAAACAAACTGTACCAAAACATTAGACAATTGTAACAATTTACTGACTGGATATTTGATAATATTAAAGAGTATAGTAATAGTGTTGTGGTAATAGGTTAAAAAAAAGGTTATAAGATATATAGTATATTTACAATTAAGATTAGAAAAATAGTATATATAAAAGATAGACAAAGAAAAGCCAATAAACGCATAATTTTCCAACAAAGAAAATCTAAACAACAGAACACTACAGAAGTTTAAACATATAAACCCTGAAAACTTTCCTAAAATAAAAGACTTCAATGTACATACCAAAAGGGCACACCTTATTCCAGGAAAAACTGACTACGATTGGTCAACACTGGGAATATCCCAATAAAATTATTGGACTTCAAAACTTCAGGCAGCCAAGCAAAATGATCAAATCACTTATATGGTGGAAAATACCAGGCTGGCAACTGACTTTTCCACAGGAACATTCAATGACAAAAGATACTGGAGCAGAACAGTTTGAGTCAAGAATTTTCAAATATAAAGGTCACAGTTTTGACCCTGCAAGGATTCAAGGATTATTGTTCACATGACCCTTGCATTGCTCCTCAAAACATTTTTGAGGAACCTACTAGAAGACATCCAAGAAATGACAGTGGAAACAAATAAAAGGACTGGAAATAAGCACAAATCCAAGACAAAATAAAAGGTGAAGTGATAAAATGTAGAAATGATACAATTTACAAAGAGAGAAAAAGGGAGCAAGGAAGTGGAAAGAGGCAAGTGGGCTTCATCTGTCATAACTGAAGGTCAAAGATGATAAATCAAGTATAGAAATGGAAACATATTTTTAAGTACTAAAGTAAACCCAAAGAAAGATAGTACTAATGACATTATGTAACAGGCAGAGAAGAGAAGATATAAGTTACAGTAGGAAATCAATAGACTATAGAAAGCAGGGACTATGGGTATTTTATAAAAAAAAAGGTATAACTATCAGAACAAAAAAATATAAACTTTTCTAAGTATCAGACTACTTAAAAAAAGAAAAATAGGAATGAAAGTGTGAAGGTAGGCTATGCAGACTGTCTTTATTACAATATATTTCCCCAACAGTTTTGGCCTTTAACATGATGAGCTCCCTTAAAAGTGGCTGGAAATATAATTGGTCTTGACAGAAAACCCCCAAATCCAGTTATTTCCAAATGATTAGAAACAAGACAGTAACTAATGTAAGATGTTAATGATAAATATTATTAAATTTATTTTAGAGGTCCAATTACTACTTTGTTAGGAAAAAAAAAAAGTTTGAATATTTTATATTTATGAATAAATGGACCTGCCATCAAAGTCCCACAGTCAGTTTCCTGAACCACAATGAATAAAAACCAGTGATGTCTCAGAATTCTAGGACATCAACACTTCTTCATGCTCTCCTTATTAAAGCAGAGAATTCACTGCTAAAAGCAGACTCTTAGCCTATATTTAATTATTCAACTAACCAGGTATACTGTCTGTCTTCTATACTTTTGACATCAACTGAAGTGTGTTAAAATTTTCCCACCAAAACATGAGCTTTGGACACACATTTGTTTGGTTCACTACTCTAGTCTCAGTACCTCGAAATATCTGGCACACAGATGCTGAACAATTATTTGCTGAGTGAATAAATGGATTTCAAATTTAAAAATTTTTAAATAAACTGTTTTAGTAAAACATTCTAGAATGTTTTAAGAATCCTTTAAGAAGGCATTAAGGTCTGGTTTATTCATTCCACATGGATGAGTTCCCCAGTAAGATTCCCTAGGGTCTCCAGAATTGAAGCTGACAACCAAATAGGCATGCAAGAGCCAGCATTCACTCTACATCTAGCATTTGCCAACATGAGAATTTTTACCTATTGTTAATGGAACATTCTCTTGATGGACACAAGGTACACATGGATCTAGATGAGGACTCATATTCCTTACCTATTCTTGTTAAACTGGATTGCAAAGTCTGTCATGTGCTGCAGAGCTTTGTTGGTGAAGTTCATTTCCATATAGATGTGCCCCTGACGATGAGTAAATGTTCCAGAAATCTCTAAGCCTTTAGCCTTTACTGCAGGCAGCCAGACCTGAAACACAGTATGAAGTCCAATGGAACCAGACAAGATTTAGCTCGATGCTATTTGTTTTTAAATAAAGATAAATTTCACTTCCTTAGGTAATTACGATGACTTTGTTAGCAGCTTTGGTGAAAGGCTTAAAAGAGAAGAAACGGAATCTACTAATGAGAATGCACCTCTATAATCTCTGAGGGCTTTTTTATTGCTACAAAACCATCATCGAAAATCTCCTTAAGGGCAAGGACTATGTCTCTAAACTCTTACTACAGCTTCTAGTAAATAGTAAGTACTCAGATGTTGCTTAAATATCTGAATAGAGTAAAACCTCAATATAACGAACTAATTCGGGTGAGGGGGTGTCCGTTAAAGTCGAAAGTCCATTATATAATAAAGTAGGTTTTTCGAATGCGTATGTTAAAAAACTGACACTTACTTAACCTGTTTTTACTTAGGTAGACATTTCTGTAATCAAAGCTAAGTATGTATGAAAAGTTTAATTTCACAGAAAAGTTTTCTGTATGTATTACAGTAATTTTAAATTTATACTGAACAGGTCTAGTAAATGCATGCATTCACCAGTCACCTCGAGTAAACAAATCCACATGGCTGGGATGTGGCTTAGTGCACACTGGAACATCAGGTGCCATGCATTAAAACTGCTGCAGAAAGTCATGCCAAGTGACAACAGAACCAATCACCATGCGAGAGGCAGTGTGATCATGGGCTAATCATTTGCCAAACATAATTTACGAGCAATGACTCTTGTATTTAAATATGTAGACTATAGTTGTAGATATGTAATATTTATGTTGGTGAAATTACTACAATGTTTTTTCCAACATATGGCCTGTTTGCTAAAATTTGTTAAAAATAATAGTGAATTAATAACCAAAAAAAAAAAAATAACCTATTAATTTAATTATAAGCAAATCTTGGTTAAAAGCACTTAAAAATTAACATGGTGTTAATTTTCACATACGACATATGGGCCAGAAATTTTGTCTATTAAATTCAAAGTCCGTTAAATTGAGGTCCACAAAAATCGAGGGTTTACTGTACCCATTTTCTCTATGTAATTCATTCATTATCCACTTTGGATCCAAAACCACATTAAAGGTAGTTTTCCCCTTTTGAATTTCCATCTGAGCATGACATTAAGCAAGACCGAGACTAAAAGAGCACCAATGGCACACACCTAGATCAGAACTCTAAAAAGGTACACCAAACTTGAGCAGGCACTGCAGAATCCATATGTAATATGAATGGAAAGGGGAATGGAAGAAATGAGAGAAAAAAATTACTTCTCTATACTGTATTTCCCCCCTGAGGTTGTATTATGTATCAAATTTACACTAGACTGACTTACTGACTTCAGTGTTGACAAACTAGACAATATTTCTAAACATGAGAAAACTCAAATACTTAGTAACACCAATTTTAAGTCTAATTATAAAAATGGTTAACAAAGATGCTATAGTGCTTCCTATTGCTAAGTTTGAGGATACCTTTCATCTTTCTCTTAAATCATCCAAAACAAGGGCCCAAACCTTGAATTTACTATCAGGGGAAGTAACAAATGTTAGAAGGTAAGTAATTTGGGTCCCGTCCATTAAAAAAGTGTTGCTTTACTTACAGCCTTAGGAGCCACATATCCACCGTGTGCCATGCCTATTCCTGTAGAGAGTTCAAATAGGTCATTCAGACCACTGCTGACCACAGCAGGAGTAGGTGAAGGAGCAAAGGTTGCAGGCACTGATGACGGAATGAAGGATTGTCCCACCTGCACATGGGAAAAAAGGGGAGGGGTGGGGATCAGGAAGAACAGATTAATAGTCCTTACAATGTTTCTATATATTTTAGTAATACTGATAAATCAATACGAACACACCGTAATTACAGTATTCTTAGGAGTTGAATTAGTATATTCTTTGTCCTTTTAATCATCGTTGATAAGATAAACACTCTTTAGAAGTTCTATTGAGATAGTAATCAGTAGGATTAGGATCACAGTGGTCAAGATTTTTCACTTGTTTCCAATTTTAGCTTCCATGATTCTGTGCAAAAGGCCTACAAGTACCCCAAGGAAAGGAAGTTTGTTTCCACAGAAGGAGAAGCCTCCAACTTAGATAGCAGATCCATTTCTACTTGGGTCCAGGCAAGTCTTATTTCCCCATTTAGGCATAAATATCTAGTAGAAAACTCTCCTGGGGTAGAAGGATATTCGCACCCCCCCAAATTGACTTAAAAGGAGAGTCTCACTCTGAGTCCAAGTGACTCTGTCAAGTTTTTTAGATGACACCAGAGAATAAAAGCATTCTCTGGTCAAGATGGGAGGTTCCATTTAGCTCTTTAATGTCAGGAAAACAAAGATCTTTGTAAACACCAGAGCGCCAATCCCTAAAGATGCCCCGTACCACATGTGGTGTATGACCCCAAAGATTCCAAGTATCCCTATGCTATTTTCTACTCTTCATATACTGCTATAAAAGTTTTGGTGTACAGTGCTAGACAGCAGCGGTGGCTGGTCTGAAAATGTGTGCATAGGAAAGGCATCAAACAGGGGCAGCGCATCCCATGGTAAAAAAAACGCATGGCACTTACTGCCGGACTTCCTCCAATGCCCCCGCCAAGGTCACTGCCAAGCTGAAAGAGAGAAAGGAGAGAGAGGAGAGAGAGGTAGAGTTCATTTAACTAAGTACTAGATGCCCATACAGAATCTGTAAATTGCTCTACCAAGTTGCTGGGAATACATGCTATTCAACTTGTCGCCCAAAGCTGAGAGAAATTATAGACTGCAAAGAAATATGTCCTAGGGTAACCAAGTAGTGGCAGTGATGGTGTGGGAGTTTTGAGAAAACTTGGAAAGAAGATGGAGCTGGGACATCTCAGGGATGTTTCAGATCCAATCTTTCCACTGGGCACAAACCCAAACAGAATTTAAAGATTTTGCATATTCCAAGAAGCTTTACCTTCAAGCAGTAATATTTTGAATATATATATATTTTTTTCTTTAAAAGGAAATGTAAGGGGGAAAAAAGAAAAGAAAAACTAAAATGTGCTTTGATCTACAAAACCTGCTGCCTCACTGAGAAGTTGGGAACCAAACCAGCATTGAGTTGCAACTTTAAGTTTCAAAATTATAGGTGGAACAAAAGTGATTTTCAGAGTTTAGAACTTTCCTAAGAAAGAAAACAGCTGGGATAGGAAGATATCCTACTTGGGGAGGAAGTGGGAAGGCAAATCTCTCTCATACTGTGATTTATCTGGAGTAGATCATTTAAAAGGATGCTAACTATTAGAGAATTAGCCTAACTTAATTAGGTAGGTGACAGGAAAATAATTCCACGTGGTCTTAGTTGAGCCTTTTTCCACTAGGAGCTCTTATATAATTCACCCTGAAGTAAATTTTCCATGACATAAGCATTAAAGGAGAAATGAAGCTGAAAACAGCTGGCATGAAGAAATAGAAAACACATATATACAAAATTAATGATGCTGTTTAAAAAGCAAAAACCACCCTTTTTTTGCTATAGTTCCACATTTGCTTCCTACTCAGTTCTCACTGTGCATCTAAAACTCCTCTTTCAATCAGCAAAGGCCTTGTGTTCTGCTTTACAAAACAGTGTTTCCTTTACTGTCTGTCAGTTAGTGGTAGAAACTTGGAGATCTTCGTGCTGCGGTTTTGCTAAAAAACAAAATTGTATTGGTCTTCAGGATTTGGGAAAGAGGATTTCTCTTCTCAATGAACAGATATATAAAACAGAATGGCCAAAATCTAAAAAATAACCAATATTGAAAAACAGTAACACTGCTGACAAAATTCTGTTTCCACCATGAAAGAAAATCACCCTGGGCAGGTTCTTCTAACTGGCATTAACAAGCACGTTCTGCACTAAACTACAGAGTACTCCAAACCTCTCCAGAATCTGGTACCTGAAGACTACTTAATGGTTAGACTACTTAATGGAACAAAAATCACATATATAAATAAATAAAAAGGTCATCACAAATAATATTTTGAATAACTGAAAAAGTATGAAAGAAAAAAAATATTATACATCTGCTGCTTTCTCCCTGGTTCTAGAATAGCACATACCTGCAGCAAGAAATCTCGAAAGCATGAAATTCCTATTATTCAAACACACACTAACATAACGTTTACTGGGATACAGGCACTAATGTAAAGACCTCGGGCAATGAGGGGAATACATAGATGAACAAAACCCAGGTTTTGCCCACTGGCAGGCAAGATAAAACATGAATGCAAAACCATACAGAGTACACTAAAGCAAAAAAGGGAAGTTCTGAAGGGAAGAGCTTCCTTCTGGCTTAAGATAATTTTAAAAATGCATCAAATGTAGTAGGTGTGGGATTTTAAGTAGCCTGACTGGGAATCGAACCGCAAATCGATTTGCGACCCACTGCAAATCGATCTGCGACCTCCTGGATCCTAGGTCAATGCTCAGCAGCTGAGCCACGCTGGCAGGGCTAGGTGTGGGACTTTAAAAAGCAAAAATGGGAGGTTATTTCTCAAATAGCAGGAACAAAGGCTGACACCCCCCCCCCCCC